TTCAAGAGCAAGTTTCAGAGTCTCTTCTGACATCCATTTTGGTCTTTTCTTTCTTTCCTGTCTTTTTAATGACCTCTTGCTTTCTTCATGTATGATGTCTTTGATGTCATTCCACAACTCATCTGGTCTTCACTCATTAGTGTTCAGTATGTCAAATCTGTTCTTGAGATGGTCTCTAAATTCAGGTGGGATGTGCTCAAGGTTGTACTTTGGCTCTTGTGAACTTGTTCTATTTTTCTTCAGTGTCAACTTGAACTTGCATAGGAGCAATTGATAGTCTGTTCCACAGTCGGCCCCTGGCCTTGTTCTGACTGATGATATTGAGCTTTTCCGTCATCTCTTTCCACATGTGTAGTCGATTTGATTCCTGTGTATTCCATCTGGTGAGGTCCATGTGTATAGTCACTGTTTATGTTGGTGAAAAAAGGTATTTGCAATGAAGAAGTCATTGGTCTTGCAAAATTCTGTCATATGATCTCTGGCATCGTTTCTATCACCAAGGCCATATTTTCCAACTACCAATCCTTCTTTGTCTCCAGCTTTCACATTCCAATCACCAGAAATTATCAATGCATCTTGATTGCATGTTTGATCAATTTCAGACTGCAGAAGTTGGTAAAAATCTTCAATTTCTTCATCTTTGGCCTCAGTGGTTGGTGCATAAATTTGAATAATAACTGTATTAACTGGTCTTCCTTGTAGGTGTATCAATATTATCCTATCACTGACAGTGTTGTACTTCAGGATAGATCTTGAAATGTTCTTTTTGATGATGAATGTAACACCATTCCTCTTCAACTTGTCATTCCCAGCATAGTAGACCATATGATTATCTGATTCAAAATGGCCAACACCAGTCTGTTTTAGCTCACTAATACCTAGGATGTCGATATTTATGCATTCCATTCCATTTTTGACAATTTCCAATTTTCCTAGGTTCATACTTTGTGCATTCAACGTTCCAATTATTAATGGATATTTACAGCTGTTTCTTCTCATTTTGAGTCATGCCACATCAGCAGATGAAGGTCCCAAAAGCTTGACTCCATCTATGTCATAAAGTTGACTCTACTTTGAGGAGGCAGCTCTTCACCAGTTGTATTTTGAGTGCCCTCCAACCGGAGGGGCTCATCTTCTGGCACTATATTAGACAGTATTCCACTGCTATTCATAAGGTTTTCACTGGCTAATTCTTTTCAGAAGTAGACCGCCAGGTCCTTCTTCCTAGTCTTTCTTAGTCTGGAAGCTCAGCTGGAACCTCTCCACCATGGGTGACCTTGCTTGTGTTTGAATACCAGTAGCGTAGCTTCCAGCATCACAGCAACATGCAAGCCCCCACAGTACGACAAAATGACAGACATGTGGGGGACTTTCACTTAGCAATATGCATTTAAGGTTCCTCTACGTGTTTTCATAGGTTGATAGCGCACTTCTTTTTATCGATGAATAAAACTTTATTGTATGGATGTACCACAGTTTATTTATCCATTAACCTATTGAAGGATAGTTTGGTTGATTCCAATTTTGGGCTATTATGAATAAAGCTGCTATAGACATTTGCGTGTAGGTTTTTGTATGTGGTCGTATGTTTTCATCTCATTTGGGTAAATACCTAGGAGTGTGATTGCTGGATCGAATGGTAAGCCTATGTTTAGCTTTGTAAGAAACAGCCAAACCGTCTTCCATAGTAGGCTGTACCGTTTTGCATTCCCACCAGCAGTGAAAGAGAGTTCCTGTTGGTCTACATCCTTGTCGGCATTTGTTGTTGTCAGTGTTTTGGATTTAACCATTCTAATGGGTGTGTAGTGGTATCTCATGTTGTTTTGATTTGCAATTCCCTAATGACATATAGGAGTCCCTGGGTGGTGCAAACCGTTAATGCACTCAGCTGCTAAGCAAAAGGCTGGTGATTTAAATCCAGCCAGAGGTGCTTTGGAAGAAAGCCTTGGTGATCTACTTCCGAAAATTCAGCTGTTGATAACCCTATGGAGCACAGTTCTTTTCTGACATATATGGGGTCACCATGAATTGGAATCAACTTGATGGCAACTGGTAATGACATGCAGGGTATTGGTGGTTCAATGATAGACTTCTCACCTTCTATGTAGGAGACCTGGGTTTGATTCTAGGCCAATATACCTCATGTACAGCAACCACTTGTCTGTCAGTGGAGGCTTGTGTGTTGCTATGATGCTGAACAGGTTTCAGCAGAGCTTCCAGACTAAGACAGACTAGGAAGAAAGGTCTGGCAACCTACTTCTAAAACTTAGCCAACGAAAACCCTATGGATTACAATGGTCTGATCCACAATCCATCACGGGGATGGCACAGGACTGGGCAGCATTTTGTTCCATTGTACATGGAGTTGCCACGAGTCAGTGGCCGACTTGATGGCAGCTGACAACAAGACAACAATGACATATGATGATGAGAATTTTTCATGTGCTTACTTGCATCTGTATATCTTCTTTGGTGAGGTTTCTGTTTAGACATTTTGCCCATTTTGTAATTAGGTTGTTGGTTGTCTTATTATTGAATTTTAAGAATTTTTTGCAAATCTTGGATATTAGTCCTTTATCAAATGTGTGTTTTGCAGATAGTTTCTCCCAGTCTGTGGTTTGTCTTTTATTCTTTTAACAGTGTCATTTGCAGAGCAGGAGTTTTTAATGTTAATGAAATCTGACTCATCATTTTTTTCCTTTATGGATCTTGCTTTTGGTGTTGCATCTAAAAAATCATTGCCAAACCCAGGGTCGCCTAGATTTTCTCCTATGATGTCTTCTAAAAGTGGTAGAGTTTTGCATCTTACATTTAGGCCTATGATCCATTTTGAGTCAATTTTTGTGGAAGATGTAAGCTTTGTGTCTATATTCATTTTTTTTTTTTTTTGCATGTGGATGTCTAGTTGTTGAAGACCATTGAATTTCGTTTGCTCTTTTGCCAAAGACCAGGTGACTGTATTTGTGTGAATCTATTTCTGGGCTCTCTGTTCTGTTCTACTGATCCATTTATCTGTTCTTCTACCAGTGCCATGCTGTCTTGATTACCATAGCTTTATAGTAAGTCTTGATGTCAGGTAGTATCAGTCCTCCAACTCTGTTCTTCTTCAGTATTGTGCTGGCTCTTTTGGGTTTTTTGCCTTTCCATATAAACTTTAGAATCAGCTTGTCAATATTTACAAAATAACTTGATGGACTTTTTATTGGGATTGCATTGAATCTATAAATCAACTTGGGAAGAACTGACATCTTAATAATATTAAGTTTTCCTATCCATGAACATGGAATATATCTCAATATATTTAGCTCTTATTTGATTTCTTTCGTCAGAGTTTTGTAGTTTTCCTCATATAGATCTTGTACATGTTTTGTTAGATTTATGCCTAAGTATTGTTTGTGTTACTATAAATGATACTGTGTTTTTAATTCCAAATTCCAATTGTTCATTGCTGGTATATAAGAAAGCAACTGATTTTTTGTATGTTAACCTTATATCCCACTACCTTGCTATATAATCACCTTTCGTTGTTTTGTTGATTCCTCAGGATTTTCTACATAAACAATCATATCTTCTGTGAACAGAGACAATTTTATTTCTTCCTTCCCAATATGTATACATTTTATTTCTTTTTCTTGTCTAATTGCAATATCTAAGACTTCCAGTGCAATGTTGAATAGGAGTGGTGAGAGGAAACATCCTTTTCTTAGGGGGAAAGCATTAAGTTTCTCACCCATTAAGTATGATGTTAGCTGTAGGCTTTTTTGTATATGTTCTTTAGCAAGTTGAGGAAGTTCCCCTCTATTCCTAATTGGTGAGAGTTTTTACTGTGAGGGGTATTGGATCTCGTCAAATGCAGTTTCTGCATCAACTGATATGATTATACACTTTTTCTTCTTTAGATCTTGATTTTTTTAGACTCAAAAAATCCTGATCCTTCCATTATACCACACTATTCAGTGGCATCACAGTATCTTCAAATTAGAATCAGTGACAACTGGTAGATGCAAAATGCATGTCAGGGCCACACAAGACTTTTTGTCTCTATGACCAGACACTGGAATGAAAGCAAACAAACATGTAAACCGCCTTCTGATGATACCTTGATCCAAATCTACATCATCCTCCCTCACCCTTCCCCCCCAGGATACTGGTCAAGCGTGGGTGAAAATAGATTAATAACTTCATTCAATCATTCACTCATCCAGTAACCACTTCTATATGTGAATCAGTAACCACTTCTATATGTGAATCAGTCAGTGTTACAAAGATAAGCCTAGTATCAAAACCAAACCCATTGCCGTCAAGTTGATTCCAACTCATATCAACCCTGTATGTTACAGAATAGAACTGCTCCATAGGGTTTTCTTGGCTGTAATCCTTACAGAAGCAGATCACCAGGGCTTTCTTCCACGGTGCCACTGGGTAGGTTTGAACTGCTAACCTTTAGGTTAATAGTCAAGCGCAAAACATTTGTAACACCCAGTGATCTGAGAAGCCCGAGGAAGGAAATTTTGATTAGGTGCCTTTTAGCATAAAAATAAGGACGGTTTTTTTAACTGTTGCTTTCTTCCCCTCTGTCTTTGAGGTGTGACAGTGAATGGAGAGTTAATCGGGGCCCCTGCTCCTCCAAATGGCCGCAAGAAGCAGCGCACTTACTTCCGCACTATCACCATCCTTGTCAATAAGCCAGAGAGATCTTATCTTGAAATCACACCAAACAGAGTCATCTTGGATGGAGGGGACAGGCTGGTCCTCCCTTGCAACCAGAGTGTGGTGGTGGGGAGTCGGGGGCTGGAGGTATCAGTATCTGCCAATACCAATGTCACCGTCACCATCCAGGGCACCATTGCCTTTGTCATCCTCATTCACCTCTACAAAAAGCCAGCACCCTACCAGCGAAACCACCTGGGCTTCTACATCTCCAACAGCAAAGGCCTTTCTAGCAACTGCCACGGACTATTAGGTAAGCAGCTACTCTCTTATTCACATTGAGTTTAGAGGATAGAATTAAATACCCCAAAGTGAAGCTGATACTGCCAATATCTTTAGCTTGATTGGGAAATTCAAAAGGAATCTGTGTGTGTGCGTGCGTGTGTGTGTGTGTGTGTGTGTGTGTGTGTTGTGTGTGTGTGTGTTTGTGATATGAATAGCAGATTTCTTGTTTCCTGATGACTTTCTGGGAATAGGAATGGGCTTTATAAACCAGTTTATAGCATTCTGGGAAAGCAAGCAATGAAATTGAGAGTATTCATCTTAATATCTGGGTCTTTACCGCTGAGCAAGAAGATACAAATAAAGAGCAGTCCACAGTCGAGTACCAAGCACAAGAAACGTATTCCTTCCATATGAGTCATCCATACTGGTATGAGCAGCAGGCAGTCCACCCTGGCTGGCTTTCTTCAGCGTGCAATTTCACATGGGCCCCTTGCCCAAAGTAGAGAGCAAGCCCTTGCTAGGGCTCAGCTTAGAAGGCAGGATTTCCTGGCACTTGAGCTGGAGGCCTTTATATAGATCCTGACTGCCAAACACGAGCTCCCTCTCACAGATGCAAGTCTGTGTTCCTTTGGCCTTAGCAATGCCCTCACTTTTACCTTTAGGATTTTGATTTTGAGTATCAGCAGTAACTGAGCCTAATGCTCTCCACTCCCCTACCCCAGTGTATCCACTAAATGGTAGTATGGAGGCAAACCTATAACCAGGGAGGAAAGAGGGGAAGACCTGACCTTACTTCTCTATTTATCAGCCCCTGTTTTGTCCTCTCAACTTAGTAGGAGACTGTAGTTATCTCTGTTTGTTGGTTAGGCGACTTTCCAGTATTAGTCACCGGACAGCTTCCAGAAATGGCTGGCCATTATGAATAAAACCTCAGCTCTCTCCTCTCCAAAAGCACATTCCATCAAGTTGATTTGGACTCATAGTGACCCTGCTGGACAAAGGAGAACTGCCGCTTAGGGTTTCCAAGGCTGTAATCTATGGAAGCAGACTGCCACATCTTTCTCCCATGGAGCGGCTGGCGGGTTCAAACTGCTGACCTTTTGGTTAGCAGCCGAGCGCTTAACCACTGCATCACCAGGACTCCTTCTCTCCTCTCCAGTACCCTCTAAAACACATGTGATGTCATTGACACTGGGAAATGTGTGAATGCCTTCTGGGAGAGTCCAATCTTGCGTTGTGGTCAATTAAAAACCCTCCCACCACTGTATAATTAATTCTCACCTTCCTCTTAGTAATCTGTGTGCATTTCCTCATTACCAGTGGCCTGAATTGAAGTCAGATTTCAAAACAATGTTGTCTGCCTTTGACTTAGACCTGATGCTTTTTTTTTTGTCTTCCCAGGTCAGTTCCTGAACCAGGATGCTAAGCTCACAGAGGAGCCTGCAAGGCTCAGCAAGAATCTTACTGATCTTCCACTCCCTCAGGCAGATGAGAGGTCTGAGACTGTCCTAAAGGTGAAAGGCCACCGAGTCCCAGTGGTCTGGAAACAAAGGAAGATCTACAATGGGGAAGAGGAGATAGACTGCTGGTTTGCCAAGAACAATGCTGCCAAACTGATTGATGGGGAATATAAAGATTACCTGGCATCTCATCCTTTTGACACAGAGACTACATTTGGCCTGGGAATACCCAGGGGACTCTGAAGCTGTTGGCCTTAATTATAGAGTGCATGACAGGGAAGTGGTCTGGGGACACCATAGTGCAGCTCTTCTTGTTGCTTGTACATGCCTCATTCTTGGCAGTTAGCTGCACTCCATAATCTACCCCCGTGGAGTGTGGGTCCAATGTCTGCTTGAGCAAAGGATAGAAGCAGGAAGCTTGTGTGAAACTTACTTCCTTCTGCTTCCTCTTCCTGACTTCCTCCTTCCTATCTACAGTAGAGAAAGATGGTAGCACCAAGTAGGGAAATGTCATAGTCTAAGAAAGACTATGTCTTGTACCAACTGGCTTGTCCTTCTCATAGCCTACCATAAGGTAACCCATCTGATGAAGGAAGGTTGCCATGAAAATATTTTTCTCTGTAGAAATGGCCAAGTTTGGGCACCCTGCTTTTTACCTTATACTAATGCTTAGGAATCTCTGCATTCTCCAGAGGGGTGGCCAACCTCCGCCTCAAGGGAACCTCTAATCGAGCCAAGGCTGGGGGTCGTGAAAATGGCACATAGACTTAATCACTGTTTTCTTAGGAGAGGATTTTCTTCTGCTGTAATATCTTGCCCTTAAAATTTAGTTTTCATTTTAAAAAATTGATTGGAAACAGAAAATCCACATCCTAGATACTGATAACCTTCTAGTAGGCTTTGTAAACCCCTGGACTTTGCTAGTGGATGTTCTGTTTATCACAGTAAGCTAAGTACTTTTAATAAGCAGGGCAACCCCATATGGCTATTTTTTACTGGCTTCTCTTGGTGCCAGAGAGTTGGTCGGTTGAATGATGCATCTTTTACTTGGAGCTATTCAGGCTTTATCATAATTCCTGGATCTTTTTGCTTGCAGTCCTCCAGGAGGTGGGAGAGGTACTGGGAGGATGGGGGAAGAGCTGTTGGCCTAACCATAGGGATCAACTTGCACACTGTAAGCAGGAAAAGCATACAGTCTACAAAATCTAAAAAGACTTTCCACACCTCAGAAAGGTCAAAGCCAGGAAATCAGCATGAGTGAGGGTCTTTGGTTTCAGAACTTGGACAAACCTGGTCCTATACAGAAAAGGTTAAAATCACAGGGACTTGAAAAGTCAATAAATATCATGCTTGTTATTCTGAGCACCTCTTTCAAGCCTGTTCATATTATCACAGGGAAATGAGCCTGCTGATGGAATTGACACCTCCTTTCCACCCTCCTCTATAGTTGCTCTTCCGGTCTTCTCAGGGCTCTGATCCTGACTGAGGGCGGGGCATGGTCAGGAAGCAGATTGACACAGGTGAAAAAGCACTTGAGTCAAAGAGAAGAGAAATCAAGATTTTTGTCAGAGAAATACAATATTTTGAAGTGAGGTTGAGTTCAAGGCTTTTGTGTTGGCCTCACCAGAGGCTTGAGGTTGGGAATGATGCCAGGGCAGTCTTTGCATGAAATGTGAAAGTATATTTAGCACTTGGGGAGAAATTAGGGTTAAGAAACTTGTTTATCATGTTTATATTCCCATGGGAAACATCCGACCAGCAGAATGACATCCACATGTTCCTGTTGGACCCAGCCGGCTTTAGGAGAGTAAGTGCTCGGTGATTTTACAGTCCTGTCTCAGAGTGTCTTTCTTTCTCTGTTTCGTGAACCTACCAGACCACGGCCTCATCAGCCGTAGCTGGCAACAGATGCCCTGACCTGTCAGCTGTGTCACTGATTTCTCCCATCTTCCCAAACTCAGCTGGCTGTTTTCATGCCGGAGACTGCTGAAGGGATACATACGTATTTTAGATCTCAGAGAAAGAGGAAGAACATGAGCCAGGGCTAGCCAATGCCCAGCAGGCTCCATGGGAACCTTTCTAGTCTATAAATCTGTGTCCCAGCTGGGTAGCATCCCTTGAGCTGAGAGGCTCAGCCCACTGTGTAGCACTTGGAGCAGGTATAGGTGGTTTATTATTCCAGGTATAGGCACCAACACTGTAGAGGAGGATAGTACTAAACAATACCAGTTACTGCTGCTTCTGCTTCTACCTTATCTAAGAACAAAGAAAAATATTCCAATGAGATACACATTGCTTACTCTCCTAGTCAGAAAATAAAAATAATAATGATTTAAAAGACAGTATCAAGGTTGAGCTTTTATTTTAATGTTTTTCCTTTAGACAAATATCACTTTTATTTCTCCTCCCATGTCCCACAGCAACTCTATAGCCAAGAGCAAAGACTAATTGTATATATCTCTTCTTATTATAACAGGAATTTACCATTTGATTTCTGTTGTAGCCAGAGACTGATATCTATAAGCCTGAAATGCCACACCAGTGTTAGGCTTTTCCAGTTGCTGTTGCGTTGATTCCAACTCGTGGTGACCCCATGTGTGTCAGAGTATAACTATGCTCCATATGTTTTCAATGGCTGATTTTTTGGAAGAGGATTGCCGGCCTTTCTTCTGAAGCACCTTTGGGTAGACTTTAATCTCCAACTTTTCAGTTCTTAGCTGAGTGCTTAACTGTTTGCCCCGTTCAGGGTTCCTCAGTGTTAGATTTAGGACCTTTTAATTTGATTGAAATACACAGTATTTTTTGTTTGTCCCGTGTGACAGCCTTGGAAACTCTATGGGACGCTTCTACTCTGTCCTATAGGGTTGTGATAAGTCGGAATTTGACTCAGTGGCGATGGGTTTGGTTAAGTTTTGGTTGTGATTAGCAAGTCAGGTAAAGTAAATGCAGAGGAAAGGAGGAATTCTCTTCTCAGCTGGGGAAACTGAGGCAGAGTACAGTTGAGTGATTTTTCCCAAGTTATATAAAAGGCTTAGTGCAGGGCCAGGCTGAACCTCCAGAATTCATTTTGTTAACTTTGACACCATCTCAACACATGGATAGTCATTTTTCTGAGAATTTGCAAATAAGGAGAGTTACTAAATGAGTGACTGAAGAACATCAAGAAATATATTGCAGTTAAAGGAAATAAATCTGACTGTCATTATAATAGCTAATGTTAATGAGTCATCATAACTGGTTAACTGGGACTTCGAGCAAGTCATCGTCTCTGGGTTCTAATCCCCTCCTTCATCTGAAAAAGGAAGGCATTTGAACAGTCACCTTTTTTTTTTTTTTTTTTTGTTTTTTTGTTTTTTTTTTATTGTGCTTTAAGTGAAAGTTTACAATTCAAGTCAGTCTCTCGTACAAAAATTTACACATACATTGTTATGTGACCCCAGTTTCTCTCCCTATACTGTGACAGCACATTCCTCCTTTCCACTCTTGATTTCTCGTGTCCATTCAACCAGCTTCTGACCCTCTCTGCCTTCTCATTTCACCTCTGGACAGGAGCTGCCCATTTAGTCTCATGTATCTACCTGAGCTAAGAAGCACACTCTTCATGAGTATCATTTTATGTCCCATAGTCCAGTCTAATCTTTCTCTGAAGAGTTGGCCTCAGGAATGTTTTCAGTTTTGGGCCAACAGAGAGTCTGGGGGCTGTGTCTTCCAGGGTCCCTCCAGTCTCAATAAAACCATTAAGTCTGGTGTTTTTGCTAGAATTTGAGTTCTGCACCCCACTTTTCTCCTCCATCAGGGACTCTCTGTTGTGTTCCCTGTCAGGGAAGTCATTGTGGTAGCTGGGTACTATCTAGTTCTTCTGGTCTCAAGCTGATGAAGTCTCTGGTTTATGTGGCCCTTTCTTCTCATGGGCTAATACTTTGTGTCCTTGGTTGAATGGTCATCTTTAAGATTATTCTAATTTAAAGTTTTATATTTCCCAAAATAAAAATGAAGACCCACAGACTGAAAAGTCTCCACCTGTCCGTGGTAGGTACTTTGTTTTCCTCTGTTTGACTTTTTAATGATTTACTACTTCAGGCTAGAGGAGGTGGGCATTTGGGAAGATAAACCATCCCAGCACTTCTTCAGAGCCAGGCCACTGTGCTTAGGATGCAGGGTGTCTGGGAATCAGAAAGAGCATCTCTTTGTCCCTAACAGATGTACCATTAAATGTTTAATTGAATCATGTGTCTTCATAGGTGGATTAGGGATAAGATTCATTCCTTTAAGTTTATTTCTTGGCTAAACTGAATCATTAGAAATATGACTTTTCCTTTCATCAAGCTATCTAGAATGTATACAAACAATATTGTTACTAAAAGATAAAAGACTTTTGAAACCATTAAGAACATGACCCAGATAAGTAAACAGAAAATAAAATGACACAGCTAAGCAAATACTTAGAAATGAAACTTTAAATATTTAGTCAGTTTTAAATAATAAGTAGGATATAACTAGCTCACATTAAAGAGATATTTTTCCTAAAAAAAATTTGTAAGAGAGTGACGTCTAAAAACAAACAACATATTGGGATGTTTATTTTTTTCAGGGAAAAATGGATTCAGGGTTGTAGACAATAAAACTTGATCATAACTGAACTGCTTGTTTATAGGAATTTCTGAATTATATGAAATGATATGTGCATGGAGTAGAGACACTGGAAGAATAATGTTAAAATAATACAAATTACTCAATAGAATGACAAGTTTATAGCAGCCATTCCTGGGCTCTTATAAAACTGTCAAATCCATGGAAGTCTCTTATACCTCTCTGTTCATTATTGTCTGGGGACTCTGGGATTCCATAGCTTTTATCACCTACATATTGGAAACCCTGGTAGTGCAACGGCTTTAAGAGTTTGGCTGCTAACCAAAAGGCTGGAGGTGGAGTCCACCAGGCGCTCCCTATGGGGCAGTTCTACTCTGTCCTGTAGGGTCACTGTAAATCGTAATCAACTCAACGGCAATGAGTTTGGTTTGATATTGGGATTTTTAGTTTCCCGGGGCTTCCATACCAAAAAGTTGGTAACTTTAAAGAATAGAAATTTATTTTCTAACAGTTCTGGAGGCTAGAAGTGTGAACTCAGGGTTGACAAAGCTATGTTCTCTTTCTGTGTACTCTAGAAGATTCTTCCTTTTCTCTTTCATTTCCAGTAGCCCCTGGTGTTTCTTGGCAGTCCTTGGCATATGGATGGACCCCCA